CCTGAGAGTTATACCTGAGAGTTATACCTGAGAGTTGTACCTGAGGGTTATACCTGAGGGTTATACCTGAGTTATACCTGAGTTATAACTGAGGGTTATACCTGAGAGTTATACCTGAGGGTTATACCTGAGGGTTATACCTGAGGGTTATAACTGAGGGTTATACCTGAGAGTTATACCTGAGAGTTATACCTGAGAGTTATACCTGAGGGTTATACCTGAGGGTTATACCTGAGGGTTATACCTGAGAGTTATACCTGAGGGTTATACCTGAGTTATACCTGAGAGTTATACCTGAGAGTTATACCTGAGAGTTATACCTGAGGGTTATACCTGAGGGTTATACCTGAGGGTTATACCTGAGGGTTATACCTGAGGGTTATACCTGAGAGTTATACCTGAGAGTTATACATCAGCATCAGCTAGCTAGCAGCAGCTAATGCTGCTTTGTAAACCAAACCATGACTAGATGTCTCACAGCTGGTTTACTGTCTGTAATTATTCTAGTCGGTCCCATCAGGTTAGGGACCTGGACCCAGACCTGAGTCATCAGGTCAGTTCTATTGACCACTCTGCTCTGTGTGCTCACGCAGCTATGGGATCGCAGGCAACACAAACGTGACCGGAGACCAGGTGAAGAAGCTGGACATCCTGTCCAACGACCTGGTCATCAACATGATCAAGTCGTCCTTCACGTCCTGTGTGCTGGTGTCCGAGGAGAACGACCGAGCCATCATCGTGGAGCCTGACAGGCGGGTATGTTTGTGTGGCACGACCTGGGCAGCAGCTTCCTGTTCAGTGGAAATCTTTTCACAATAAAAGCATGAAATGATGCTTTCAGGGTAAATATATCGTTTGCTTCGATCCTCTGGACGGCTCCTCCAACATCGACTGCCTCGTCTCCATTGGAACCATTTTTGCCATCTACAGGAAGGTACGGAACCAAGTTGTGTGTGTAGATAATAACCGGGTCTAACCGGGTCACGCTGTGTTCTGTCAGACCACAGATGACGAGCCGTGTGAGAAGGACGCCCTGCAGCCTGGCAGGAACCTGGTGGCAGCGGGCTACGCCCTCTACGGCAGCGCCACCATGATCGTCCTCTCCACCGGTCAGGGAGTCAACTGCTTCATGCTGGACCCGGTCCGTTTCCCTGCTGGTTCTGAGTCCCGCAGCCCCGCGGTGTCGGCAGCTAGTGACGGTCTGCTCTGCTCCTCAGGCGCTCGGGGAGTTCATCCTGGTGGACCGAGACGTGAAGATCAAGAAGCGAGGAAAGATCTACAGCCTGAACGAAGGCTACGCCAAAGACTTCGACCCGTCTGTGACAGAGTACCTGCAGAAGAAGAAGTTCCCTGAGGTCCGCCTGGTGTTGGCCCACAGGATGTGTCCTCACTGTTTCCTCACTTCTGTCTAACATGTTTGTGTAACCGTGTGCAGGACGGCAGCCAGCCGTACGGAGCGCGCTACATCGGCTCCATGGTGGCAGACGTGCATCGCACTCTGATGTACGGAGGCATCTTCTTATACCCGGGCAACGTGAAGAACCCCCAGGGCAAGGTGAGCGCACCCACCAGTCAGCAGTCTCTGAGGTATACTGGTCCAGGGCAAGATCAGTGTACCCACCAGCCAGCAGTCTCTGAGGTATACTGGTCCAGGGCAAGGTGAGCGTACCCACCAGTCAGCAGTCTCTGAGGTATACTGGTCCAGGGCAAGGTGAGCGTACCCACCAGTCAGCAGTTTATATCTAATACCAGTTATTGTCAGAAAATAAACCTGAACCCAGACGTCTCTAATTAAACACATTTTTAAACAAATCAAAGAGCCGGCGTGGCAGAAAGACACAGAAACAGGAAGAACAGGAAACACAGCTGAGAGAAGAGAACCAATCAGAAAACAGCTGAGTGGACTGAGACAGGAAGAAGCAGTTAGGGGTTAGTTAGTCATTAGTTAGTAACTAATCCAGTCTGAACACAGAATCTAAGCTCACACAGAGAAACAGCAACAATCAATCAAACACTGCAGGTCAACAGGTTAGGGTTAACCTGTGTTAGGGTTAACCTGTGTTAGGGTAACCCTAACACAGGTTAACCTAACAGGTTAGGGTCAACCTAATCTAAGTGTTTGTCTTTCTGTTCAGCCTCTGCTCCTGGAGCTCTCTTCTACTCTGTTCACTTCGGGTCGGGTCGGTTCTGCTCAGTGTGTGTGTCTCCACTTCAGTGTCCCTCACTCTGTGGGCGGACCGTGAGCAGCAGCTTCAACTGCTGGGTTAAAAAACTGTTGTTTGTTTGTTTGTTTGTTTGTTTGTTTGTTTGTTTGTTTGTTTGTTTGTTTACTTACTTACTTATTTTCTTACTTGCTTACTTGCTTACTTACATACTTATTTATTTATTTATTTATTTATTTATTTATTTATTTATTTATTTATTTATTATCACTGTGCTGTTTCTAAGTGCTTGTGTAACCATGAGCGGACAGTTTGTTGGAAACCTCCAGTTATCTGCTGAGCTTCGTCTCCAGGAAGTGTTTACAGGTTCTGTTTTCTCAACATGACCCAGAAGGTTTGATGGTTTTATCACAGCGTTCACCGTGTTGTCATATCGCACCACACGCTCCTGTTCCAAAACAAATAGCTCTATCCTGGAGAATGTTTGCACAAATAAAGCCTTTCTTCTGTCAATCAATCCCAGAGGTAATCCACAGGCAGCATTCTGCTGATGCCTGCTGTTCTCACGTCTCCCTGCTGAGAACCAGCAGAGAGGAGGTTCTGAAACAGCACAGCTGGAACCTCATGGAGACACACTGAACCGAACCGAACCACTACAGGTGCTGGTGGACATGGTGCTTTACTGAAACACTGTTTCTAAAACAAAAACTTTACTTTAGTCTTTAGCTGAAATCATCCAGTCAGGTCTGTTAGAGCAGTGTTTCCCAAAGTTTGGGTCGGGACCCAAAGTGGGGTCCCAAAACATCAAGGTGTGGTCCTGAAAAGATTTTCTGAATTAATTACATTTTTGCCTTAGTTGTTACAAATGAGTGAGGTTAGTGTATTTAAAATGGATAAATGTAGTATAAAAATATTGTTACTATGCCCATGTTTAGTTGACCTGATACAAATGTTTATCATCCAGAAACAGTTGGGGGCTCAGGTCTCTGCTACTGATATTTTGTGGGTCAAAGCTGAAAAGTTTGGGAACCACGGGTATAAAGTACCTGAAAGCGATACTTGAGTAAAAGTACAAGTATCGTATCATAA